TATATATATATATATATATATATATATATAGAACAGCTATATGTGTATATATTTGATCTCTTTTTTATTTTTATTTTTATCTTTATTATCTTGTGTAGTTGGATGTGTGTATATATATATATATAAAACTGTAACTTGAGCGTGTAACAAAAGTAATTTCCCTTTGGGATTATTAAAGTATTTCTGATTCTGAACTTGGACTTAATAGTTTAGGGACACTAGCCACTGCAACACCAGATGATTACAGAAAATGCTGCTAACAGAGGTGTACAAAGTGCGAGTCACTGGTTATTGAAGTTATTTCAATGAGTTGCACATGGCTGCTTTTAACAATTATCAATCTTTAATGAGGCATCAAGCGTGGACGGAGCTTTTCCGCACAACATCCATACCAGCTTAATCTTTTTTTAGCAATAACAGAGTGGAATCTGATGTATTGCTTTAGTTTGCTTTAGGCTACATTGATATCATTGTAGAATAATAGGAAATGGTGAACATCTTTATGATGTTCTGATGCAACAAACAACTGATTTGATAAAAAAAAGTGTACTTTATGTTTTCTCACTGTATTTGGTAGGATCTTTTTCATGAGTCCAGCTCATTTTGAAATAAAAAAGCAAACCTTAAAAGTGTTTTAATGGTTCATATTTAAAATATTTATTTGAGCAAAAGCAGAGGATTTTCATGAGAGAAATGCATGGAAAATGGACCTTATAAACCATCAGCAGTTAATGTTTTGGATGAAAATGTTATGAAGCACAACCTAGACATACTATGGGAACTATGACAGCAAAAGTTTACTTTGGGTTCATCTAAGGGGAGTGGTGGCCTAGTGGTTACGGCATAAATCTTGGAATCCTGAGCTTCTGAGCTTAAGCCCCACTCCCACAGGTGGAGTGGTGCAGAGACAGAAACCTGATCCTGAATGTGGAGAAAACGAAGGTGATCATTGTTGACTTCAGGAAAAATTAGCCTAACCACATTCCACTGCTCATTAACTGCTCCACTGTAGAGGTGGTCAGCAGTACCAAATTCCTGGGGGTGCACATCACAAGCAACCTCACCTGGAATGTAAACACCACCTCACTGATCAAAAGGGCACAAAAGTGCATGTACTTCTTGTGGAGGATGAGGAGAGCCCAACTGCCCCCACCCATCTGTTCATTCTGAACTCTAACCCCCACCATGGACTGTTCTCCCAGCTGCCCTCAGAAAGAGGCTTCGAAGCATTTGGATGCATTTGCAGCCATTAGACTGCTGAATGTTGAATAACAGAGAAAAAACTAACAAAAATGCTGAATCTTGGAAAGCTGTAAATCATATCCCAGTCTTATGTTTACATCTGTTCACCACGTTTACATTTAATCACTGCTGCACTTTAAAAAATGGAAATGTCTTGAGAGTTGTACCGAATGAAATCTTGTTTTGTATACACCCTGTGTGGACAAAATGACAATGAAGTTTGTCTAAGTTTAAGTCCTACAGACTTCCACTCTGGGTCTCGGAGCAAGACCCATAACCTCTGATTTGGCGCCCCACGATGGCAGCCCACTGCTCCTCAAGGGGATGGGTTAAATGCAGAGATAAATTTCTTCAATAGATTAATAATGTTCAATTATTATTATTTATTATTATCTATTTTGTCCATTTGCTCCGGGATGTAATTCTGACTCCTGTGCTGCAGTGGCGCTAAACCTATTTTGCCCTCCTACCTCGCTTCCTTCAGACACCATCCTTTTTCCTCTTGCAGTATTTTTTGATGCAAAGCCTTTCAGAATCACAGAGGCATTATTATTTTTCAGTGAATGAGGTTTTCATAGGCCTAGGTTAAGTACAACTTTGCTACTTCTGTTATTTGCTGTTTGTTTCTCAAATAAAACGCATAACAATATTACAGCTTTCATTGATTTATTTCAAATTTGAAACATTGTCTAGCCTGTAAGGTAAAAAAAAAAAAAAAGTTACCAGTTAATCGAATCGAATCGTGGTTTATTCTTGAGTATCGAAAATGATGGAATCGTTGGGTCAGGATATTGATACTAAATCAAATGGCCATGATGGGTGTGATTTACACCCCTAGTGGTTATTAAGGGTTGATAGAACAGATCGGAGGTCTTCAACAGGAGGTCCGCCACCCCTATGGGGTCCACAGAGCTACTGCATGGGGGTCGTGAAATTTTTGGTTGATTAGACTTTGTTTTTTTTTTATATCCCCGCCTGCAATTTTTTTCGACTTATTGAAATGTCTTTAAATGCAAATTAACATGAATTATACAAACTGTAATAAACAGATAAATGGAGACAGAAGATGTCTTTTAGTCATCAATGCAAACATTCAGCGACACACAGGAGCTCTTTCAAGCTGGGCACCGTTTCATTCACAACACCTGTCCCATCAACCAGGAACCAGAATCAGAAATACTTTAATAGTCCCAGGATGAAATTACTTTAGTTAAATTACTCCAGCTGTAATATAGTGACTATAGGACCAGTTTGATAGAACACAATTTCATACAATATATATTATTAGGGAGTCCCCACTCCATCTTGCCATCAGTTTGGGGGCCCTTGGCTTAGAAAACTCTGAACACCTCTGTCATATACACACCCTTGCCACAGTTAAACTGCAGAGGCTCCATTATGCTGTGGGCATTCCTTTCTTTTTAACAGTGACCGGGTGGTTGTTCAAAGTTGATAGAACAGATACAACCAAGATGTTGACTAAATGAACAGCAGTCCTGAAAGAAGCAGTTTTGAGGTTGTAGGTTTATTATCCAGCAGGACATACAGTTTGAGCTAAAATGAAGTGTTTAAGAACAAAGAACATCCATTATCTACCTAACAGAAGTTCATATATGAATCTGGATGTGGAAACTGATTTTCACCATCCAGTCTGACTGATTTTAGCTGTTTTGTGAAGAAAAACTGGGTAATGCTTTCGGCCATTAAATGTACCAAGGTAGCCCCCGCCATAGATATCCATAACTTTATTATGGATATCTATGATCTAGCCTTTATTATGGATATCTATGGCCCCCGCCCCCAAAACACAAAGGTTTATCATTCCTGGCCACGTCACTGTTAGGTACTACTTTTTGCATTAATGACTAAATCTATCTAAAATGAATACATAAAAGTCCGATTCTAACGTTACAAAAAGTATACAAGATATTAACATTATGGAGAGGTGGACTGGATGGAATTGAGTTCAATTGGACGAAGCGCATAAAACGTTAAAACAATTGTTTTCATCTGCGCCTGTGGCCTTCGATCAAATGAAGTGTCCGATTTTTGCGTTTCAAACAGGTCCGACTTAATTGTGTTCTTATAAATTGCAATATTTTCTTCTTTCGATATTATTATTATCAGGAAGTTTGGATAAAATATGTATATTTTTAACATTCGCGTTGTGTCAGAAAAGCATTTCATTAGGAATCCCAGTCATTACGCGCTAGCTAAAGGCTAGCTGCAATGGCGTCTCAAGGGGAAACGTTCATAAGGATTTGCTTAGTTTTAACGAAGCAGATGTAATTTCCAAAGGCCGACGGTCCTTTCAGGCATCAGTTAATAGTCTAATGTGATAATTGTAAGAAGCCAGATATTTTTAGGGTCTCTTTGGGTTATTTAGCGGGAAAATTTTGTTGAAATATCGCTGTTGGGAAGCGGGAGGGTGCCCTCGGCGGAAGGATACACCTCGGTGTTTTGGGAGTCGGAGGGAGGGAGCGAAGGAGGACCGATCGGCGTGGGTAAGTTTAGCGTGTAGTTTTAAACACGTTTCACAACTTAAGGATTCATTTTTAGTCGCTAGAGGAAATCTTAGCATACGAACTAACAATCTAGCTTGGTAAGGGATGATGGTTGAACCTGCTTCATCGAAAGCGCTGACATCATCCTTTGGTTTAGCTCACTAAGCGTCCGTCCGTATGATAAACTACACATGGGTTAGCATCTCACAGAGTAAATGCTTAATATACTGTCTTGGTGGTCTCGGGAAAAGCTCTTAAATAAATGCTTAAAGTGACAAACAAGAAAATAATGTATTACCGATGTGCTACTGAAGTATTTTCGAAATCGTATTCTTAGAAAACGCTCGTTTTTATTTACGTAAATGTAATGGTGAATTGACAAGTTGATTAGGGAAGTTATTATTTTTTAAGTCGTATAGTGAGCTTAGATAAAACTGGTGCTCATTCAACAATTCTTTCTTTTATTTGTGATCCTCGCCGTTGGTGTTTTAGGCCCTTTCGCAACTATAACGTTAGAATAGTTTAGTTTATCTAAGATTTGGATAGTTTAAAGCCGTGTGAGTGACGAAGGACAGTTGGGCTAACCCGTCATTGTTTAGTTTTGCATTGTTCTGCCCAGAACTCCCAGCTGTCCCATTTCTGTTCCTCTTCGGTTTAAAGCGCTTCATAGAAACGTATTTCAATTATTCGTATTGGCTGAAAAGCGACCCTCTCCGATTTGATTGGTTGGTGAAAGAATGTGACGCAATTGACTTTTGACCAATCGGAAGCCGACAACCTAAGTACTGTCCTCCTATCCAACATGTCCTCTTATCCAACATAAACAACTTGGCTTGGAAAAGTAGGGATTATAAGGGTCGTGTAGAGGTTTTTTCACTAAACTAAGCTATATTTTTTAAATGGTTTCGGATACAAATACAAACTTCTGATAATAATTATAGAATAGAAAATCCCTTTATTGTCCCACAATGTGCAAAATCTGGCGTTAAAGCAGCGAAAAGATTATAGCAAAAGTGGTCATACAAGTGTGGACCTTAGAAAAGTGTATAAAAATATCATAATGGTGAAGAGTTAAAAAAAAATTAAATAAAATACTGTACAGTGTTTTACAATTAAAATACTATGCACCTGGAGAATAAATCACCAATATACAGCTGTCGACATTTTTTTTTACACTAATGGATATTTAAGAAATAGCAGCAACATCAGAGATGTGCAAAATGAGCGCAGCATGTTATTTACCTGACTAAGACAGAAACTGCAAAAATCAGCATGCATGTAACAACTTATTGAGGTTGTTGGAAATGGTGATGGTTATATTGTCTTACAGCTGCTGGGAGGAAGGATCTGGAATAACGCTCCGTTGTGCATTTAAGGTTTAGCTTCTAATTAGATTAACTTTGCCATCTTTAGCTATCTATGTTTTTCTACTGTTTTAAGGTTTGCATGATAGCCCAGCTAAAAAAGAAGTTAATAAAAATATATATATATAAAAAAACAAAATGCAACATTGACTGTACTCTCTAGGTATGTTGCCATTGTTTCACTTAAGCATTTGCTAAATGTTGATGTTTTTACATTAGTTTAACAGTATTCCATTCTGTTAAATTGTCTCTTTGCTTTTTATTCAAAAATATAAATCCATATTTGGTAAATGTTTAAAAGCACTTTCGCAGTTGCACAATCCTTTAGAATTCTTTTATTCTTAATTATTGCCCTGCATTAAATAGTAATGGCCTCAGAACTCATGGGGATTACTTAGACATACATAAATGAAGTGAAATACAGTTTTAGGCATGGTTCTATGAAGAAAAAGCATCATAATATAGTTATAAGGTCAAAAAGTTAATATTTCATGACATAATCCCTTTATATGACTGGTTTTACTGGAAAGTAATGATTTGTTCATGATTTTGTAGGATGCTCTTTGCATTTGTTTCCTGGACAGAGGTAATGCTGTTTGTGGTTTTAGAATCCACTGATGCCTGTTTTGTTTTTTGTTTTTTTATTATTTCAGGTTATGTTTTTACATCTAACCTGCTGTTGATTATGTCCGAGAAATTTTGGTCAAGTCTACCGATGCAACATTGAATTCATTCAGTAGGTAGTAACAGAGCTGAAAACGGTAACTCTGCAGAAACCAAATAAAAGTACAAATTATGTTCTAATAAGACAAAAAACATCATGTTAGGGCAAAATTTGTATATTGTTAATTCATCACTTTAACAGAGTTGAATTATTGATTAAAAAACAACCCCCACCAAAATAAAATAAAACAAACAAAAACAAAACCTAGAACGTAAATCAAATTTTCCAATCTCATTAGATTTATTACATTGCTTTATCTTTTTCATTCATCTAGGTTCATAGTGATGGCATTATTTGGAAACTCTTAACCTCTGCCAAGGCCAACAACATAAAATAAACTGTTAAATTTTTTACCATAATTAAAGAGCTGCCTGTTAATTGTCCTTTTATAAATATCATTACAGTCACCAGTTAGATCAATGCAGCTGAGCAGCCTCTTGCTGTTGGATCCTTTTTTATTGAATACCCGTGTAGCAGGTAGTGAATAAATTCTAGGTCACTTTGAATCTTAGCAGCGTTTCCTTCCAACTGAAAGGCGAATTTTAGGGAAACTTAAAAGTTTTGAAAAATAGATGAGGTGAAATTGCAGTTTAGTTTTCATTTGGTTTAAAGCAAATTAACCAAGTGACACAAAACGTAACGCAATCAGAGTACGTTGTCCTGCGTGGCTGTAATAAACAGGAAGCAGGGGCCCCAATCTTGCCGCAACCACAGATTGGTGATGGAGGAAAGATTTAATAAATGAGATATTGCTTACAGCCATGTCTACACTCATAATAGGAACATCTCGGAAGCTGCCAACAGCAGAAACAGCTGATTAGTCCCACTTTAAGCCTCAATCCCTTTTTCTCAAAATCCAAAAAAACAGATCAAGTGAGGGTAAAAACCTTTGTAGGAATTTTTGGAAGTTCTTTTTTTCCCCTGGATTTCAGCATTTTCATCAAGCTTTTCTGATGCAGTGCTTTAAAACTCACATTAGAAAAAAACTAATGGAAACATGCCCACTGACTTTTAAGGCAGATACAGTGGCTCACTCTCTTTGGAAACTTTTGGGACTTTTTTTGCAAACTAAAATTAAATTTGCTTGTTTAGACTCCTTTGTGCAGGACTTTATAGTTACTGTGGTGTGGAAAGTGTGCAAACTAAAGGCTTGGAGAGAAACAGTAAATGAAACTTGATCAAATTTGAAGAAAAGATTTGAAATTTTTGTTTGCATCTCTTAAGCATCAACCAAACTTAAGAGCAATCCCCACTTCATCCTTTGTCAACATTATTTTCTCTTATCTTCAGTTTTGATTAAAAGAAGCTTGTCTCTGCTGCCTCCTTCACTTTAGCTCTCAGGAACATCTGGTCACTGACTAGATTTCACAGTGGCAATGCGAACAAATGTTCAGATTTTTCTGCTCATATTCAGCAAACAAGATGTAGTTTCGCTGTATTCAACAGTCGTGCCATTTGCTTACTCAGGGTTCCCGCGGGTCCTTAAAGTCTTAAAAGGCA